TTTAGCCCTTCATTCCTGTCTAATCTTCTGATTCTCATCAGGTTGAGTAGAGTTGGCACTTGACTGCTCGCACAACACAACATACATTAGTCATTGACCCCTATATCTAACTGTTACACACACACACACACACACACACACTATATAACTCTGAGTTTACGCCCGAGAGCACTTTCTGACATCTTACTCATGCATTCCGTTTCTTGTTTCATGCCTATACTGTACATTAAAGTGTTTGTGTGTGAGGGTTTCTATGCATGTGTGTGTGTGTGCCTCGTTGTGACGCCTGTATTGTTGTATTTTGTTGTTTCTTGTTATCAACTTGCAATGCTGGCCTGTTTTTTTATTTTTTTTTTAATGTCATTGCATGTGTGTGCTTTGCATCCCTCTGCTCTTCACGTCATGTATTAAACATGGCTTTGCGACCGCCTCGGTGTTTGCGTTGCAGGGTCACGTGCAGTAACTATGATCCATAACAGCGGTTGAAAAAGTTGTGGAATGGATTCTATAGATTGTTGGTTATTCACAATAAATCCTCAGAATATTCTTTTTGATGCTATTTTATCAAAGTAGCTCCCCGTTTTATCGTTTTATGCGACTGTTTCCTTGATCTCCGTAGTTTAAGTACAATGACAGAGACCTGCCACAACTAATTCATTCAATAATTTGTTTCCTTTGTCTGCCGTTATTTGTGTGTGTGCTGGAAACGCCTCCAGCTATTATTTGAATGCCAGCTTTTCCTCTTTTTACAGTATTCTCGGTTTGATTAAATGTCGACCTCAAAGAGAACAGGAGTTACTCAGTGCACATTGTTAAATCAGCCAGAGTGTGACAAGACGAAAAAGCTTCTTTACTCCCATAGATGCACTGAAACATTATAAAACCGAGGTTAATGCAGAGACAGGTTTTGTAAAATGTCACCATCGGTGATGGACAGTTAAGGAAAGTCACTAATGCTGCACACGTCACATGAACCTTGTAGGTTTGATCAAAATACTGTAGAAGGGAATTAGTTTCAAATTTTGATTAAAATAGTTTATAATCCTCTCTGCATATGACTGTACACTGAAACTCTAAAGCCCTTTTCAAACATGGGACATTCATCAAGTAATTTCCAACGCATAAAGTATTTCATTTATGACTGTCTGTATGTATGTCCATGTGTGATAACAGTCTAACTGCTATTTTACCAACGCTATGATGGAGCTCAGGACTCACGAGGACACCCACCACCCAACAAGTAACTTAACTGCAGCTGAAGTGAAGTAAAGCAGATCCTGTCTCCATGTCGGCATATTTTACATTTATAAGTGATGAAGTTATTGTTCCCTGTGTAATAATGCGCAAAACTTCAATCCTGGATTACACTGACCTGTTACAGACTTATTACAGTATTAGTTTTCTTTTATTTATTGCCTCATAGGCATGAAATTGTAGGGGGAAGTGAACGAAAGGGGTGATTTTACCATGGACAGTATATTTTTGGCTTCTTCTGGGATATTTTTGGACCAATTTTGGTGCCGAAATTTGAAATGTGAAAAAAAATAAAGACCCTTCTCTAAATCGCTTTAAACAACTTCAAGCACATTATCTGTTCATGTGATACAAGTTCTGACTTGTGTTGCGTCGTCAGTGAAAATGTCACTCCGATTGAGTTTACAGAGAAGTAGATAGGCTGGGATACTTATTCAGACATTGAAGCTGACACGTTCACGGAAAGAAGAGCTTCAACAATGTCTAAATATTTGACAGATGAATAGAAGAAGATGCTGACATTTGGCACCTGGACTTTGAGAGTAAAGTTGAGGATGAAGTAAGCATAAAGCAGTTGTGAAATGGAGCTTCGCGTTAGTTCAGACAGGCACGGAGTCAGGCGGTCACATGGCCCCTCCTGTCCAATCGTCATCGCTAAAGTCCAGCCCACCCACTTAGCGTGCTTTATAACTGAGGCAGCGTTCATTCACTCTGCCCGCTTCACGCTCACCACATCGCTGCTACTCCAGCCTCTGCAGATCATCAAATCTCCTCCTCTTCCCCAACCACCACCTTTTAAAAACAGTTCAATCTCATAACCCCGGTGTTTCCCATATCGTCGGATTGTAGGTTGCAGATGGTTCATTATTGTACCTTGAACTATGTAATCTGGATTCTGTTAGTGAGGACTATTTAGTTGTTCTCCTGTTCTCGTGTTCATACTGTATTCGAAAAATTGTAAATTGTAAATTGATGGCTCTGCTGGGGATTTGTGATCTCAGGGATTATCTGTGTCGTGCTTGCACAGATCGTTCCAGAGCATCACGAGCAGAGTCACCGCCAAACTAAATGTATGTGATCTCAAATAAATGGTTAAATCTGACAAAGTGTCCTGTCTGAAATAAAACCTTTTGTTCAGCGACTGTTTGAGTTCTGTGTAGAGTCACTGAAAGAAAGCGAATGCTGTCCTGATGGTTGTAAAGCTGCTTTTTCTTGCAGTTTTCTTCCAGTCATGATTGGAAGCTCACATGATGAAGAAAAACAAAAGAACAGGGTAAAGATTTTAAATCCAGCCTCCCAAACATGTACGGAGTGAGTTCATAGAAGTTAAAAAAGAAAGAAATGCAGATAAGATATAAAAATAATGAATATGTTGTGTTTACCAGCGGATTCTGTTCATATGAGCGAATGCAGTTTTTTGATTGAGTGAGGCTCAATGAGGCTTTCACACGACCGCCGTGATGATTTTTTATACGCGAGTAAAATGCAGCAGAGACCCGGTCGAACCAGAAGTGCCCCGCCTCATGTCACCGTCTCTGCATATGTCCCAGAATGCACTGGGCCTTGTGGGCAAGTCTGGATATCACACAGCTCACAGAGCCGACATCAACACAGCTGTACAGTCAGAGTCTGTGATACGCTCCTCTCTGTGGAGTGGCTTTTGTAGCTTTTCCACAATTCAAGCTTTGTTTTCTTTTCTTTAGGGCTGTTAAACACTTCAACCATTGTGGTCCATCACTTTTTCTACTATCTGTTCTTTCACCTCCCTGAAGTTTTTTTTTTTTGCATCAGAAAAAAACTCCAATCAGATTTTCTTTAAGAGAAAACAGACAGTGATGAGCCATTACATGCAAACAGAGTCCCTTTTCACACACACACAGACAAATGTGTTCAAACGTGGGAATCGGAGAGAAGTGAAATGTGACAATAATGGAGAAATAAATTCTGGCCAGTTGGTGCATTTGAAGCAGAGTGGATGCGATGGCTGTTCAGTCATGCCTACTTTCAGAACTCATGTGCATTGTGTGTATTCTACATCACTAATTTTACACACACAGACACACACAGGGCTCGTGTGCATCAATCTGAAAGTAATGCACACAAGCCCTCAGCCTAAGAACTCTGACTTTGTTTTTATTTGTTGTTTTTTTTCCCCCCTTCTCATATTATACCCTTTGTTAAAAGCTTTCACTGATGACTACACTAAAAAAAAATATTTCCCACTTGTACCATCTGATCCAGACCCGCGCACACACAAACACTGGACAGGAGTAGTCACACACACAATAGAGGACATAAATCAGTGTGATTTGTTGGAGGTGGACTGAATAAAAGAGCCCAGCTTTTCGTCCTGCTGTGCTGCCAGCACAAGTGGACTAGTTTTAATAGTGCGCTAATGGTTTCTGACAACGGAAGCTGTCCGAGGTTCTTTAGTTTATAGCAATGAAAGAGGACGATTTAAATGTTCGACCAGAGGTAGTTCAGACCTTTGTGTGGATGTGATGGGGATGTCAATAGCAATAGTCAACTGAGGATGGATGGGATCTGTAGTTTTAATTGAGGAAATGATTCCATCTCTCTGAAAATAGTCCCCAAAATGTCTTAAACACCTTGAACAGCTTTAAAAAAGTCACATTTTTGACCTTGTTAACATGTCAGTATGGTGTTTTTTTATAAGCTAGAAGATATGTGACTCAAAAAATGTATTTGGACTTCTTGGATTTCATATGCAGCAAATCTAAGGATGTAATCATATCAATTTGTGAAGTGGGGTTTTCCATATTCTCCTTCAAAATCGGTTTCTGGTTCAAATATGAATAGCTGAATTACTCCAATATCACGTGTAGAGTTGTGTAACAGTGTGTGAGTCGTCGGTGAGCTGGTGTGCTGCGCTGCAGTGAGGGAGAGACAGAGCCATTTAAGGTGGGAAGCAATTACAACTTCTGAATATATAACTTTGATATACAGAAATACATTTTTAGATGGTATAAGCAATGACAAGAGAGAGAAAGTTTAACTTATCAAATTAAACTGTGCGTGACTGTGTATTGCTTCGACCATGATACAACCCCCCCCCCAAAAAATAAAATAAAATAAAATAAAATAAAAAATTTTAAAAAAAAAACGAATTCAGTTTCTCGTTAAAAAGAAAGGAAAGATAAATTTCTAATTTTAACATCATTAAAAAAGTTCTAAAAAAAACCCCATAAGGTTCTTGGCCTAGATAAAAAAGGAAACAAATTATCTGAACACAAAAATGCTTGTAGTGATAGTTAAAGTTTTCACAAAGTATGAGATGATTTTGTGACAGACATTAGCTTGTGAGCTGCAAGGTGGGACAGTGGTCAGCACCGTTGCCTCAATGAGTCAGAAGGTCCTCAGTTCACGTCCCGTGATCTTTCTACGTGGAGTTTGTATGTTCTCCCTGTGCAGCGTGGGTTCTCTCTGGGTTCTCCGGCTTCCTCCCACACAAACCATGTTGAGGTTAATTGGTGATTCTAAATTGTCCGTAGGTGTGAATGTGAGTGTGCTTGGTTGTCTGTCTCTAAGTGTAGCCCTGTGATAGACTGGTGACCTGTCCAGGGTGTCCCCTGCCTTCACCCTAAGTCGACTGGGATAGACTCCAGCCGCCCACAACCCTAGTGAGGATTAAGCGGTGTATAGATAATAGATGGATGGATGGAAATGGATGGATCAGAAATCAGAGGATCAGAGAAGGAACCCTAAAGTTTCTTTAAAAAGAAAAAAATCTATTTATGGTCTTTTGTTTTTCCTGTTGCAGCTCTTCAGTTTGTTTATTTATTTTACATTCTCAGACGACCTCGTTGCATTATATAGATACATCTTTTTAAATGTTACAGGCCGCTGTTCCTGGGCTGGAATTAAATTTCTGTCACATGCACACAAGATTTATAGGAAATGATGCGTCCATAGAGTGCAGCATTGCTTTTATCCATTTTTTTCTCATTGATTCAGCCTTTATCAGCACTGCACAATCAGACAATCATTTAAAAGATGAGCTATGAAACAGGAAAAAGAAGAAGCTCGTCCTGATGAAACGCTGCAGGCTGCAGACCTCCAGCTCCTCAGTGAGGTAACCAGCTGACTTTCACTCTTCCCTGCTGTTGTTCAGAAAACTCTGTGCAGCTTGTGCATCATAAAATCCAATCCCCATCGCTCAAAACATGAGGGAGAAATACAGACTTCTGACTGACTTCTTTATTAAAACAACCACGGTACACTGTAAACTTCTGGCAAAGCAGCTGCCGAGCGCATATTGCCGTGGTATTAACCTGCACTTAATGTTACCAGTAGCCGTGGGACTGAACTCGATGAAAACAAATCACATTGCAAGAACAAAAAAAAGTTGATTTTATGTCTTGCACCTTTGCTCAGCTGCTGCCTGAATAGTGGTTGGTATAGAATAGTGGGCTGACAGTAGAAATAACAAATGACGTTGAAAAATATGACTAACTTCAAACCAAAATGACTGAAAACGCAGCATACTGTATGCACACAGCGCTGGACCTTCAGGAAAATAAAGACTTTCTACACTGCCCTAGTGTCACTTTTTTATGCTGTAGTTGCAGTGAGGGACTGACCGCTCCACTGGCTTTGCTCTGTAACCTCCAGGACAAAACTATGAACATACAGGGCCTCTCCCAGGTGGCACTGTGTGTACTATACGCAGCCCTCTCTCCCTGTGCAACTGCACCTCAGGAAACAGGTATAAATAATGAAGATTGTTCTCATTTGTGTTTCCCTTCACATTCCTGCTGCAGTGCTGCTGTGCTGCTGACTGTAACTCCATCGCCACGAGGAACTATTAGTGTCTGATGACGGCATTACAGCCAGAAGGGAGTGACATGAGATAGGGAGGAACACCTGACGCGAAATAATATCAGGTGCACTGACATTAAGGCGCAGATGCTCCCGTGCGCAATTGTGCACACACACACAGACACATCTGTGCATGCACAAACACACTCGCATGGTAATTTACAGTAGAATGTGTCCTTGATGCGAGGCTCGAGGAGCTATTTTGAGTGTCCTACTTAGGCAGTGAGGCAGCTAAAATCTATACATCCTTCCGTGGAGACACGTTCACACAAATTTCATCCCATGTATCACATACATTCACACCTACTGGAGGAGAATCCTTGTTTTAGATATTCGCTTCTGTCAATAAATCAATGACTGCAGTGATTGATGCTGTTGACCTTCAAAAAACCCTGCTTGCTTTGACAGTTCATGCTATAGTACACTTTTATTTTATTTATTTCCCCCAGCATGGATTAAACTGTCCTCTCTGTCACCAAGAGGAGTTATTTGGAAACGTCCTATTACACCCCCATCAAGATCACAGGGAATATTAAAGCACAAAAACTAGCTAATTAAGAGCATTATAAAAGGGTATCAGTGAGAGGTAATGGCTCAAGACGTGAATATTAAGCTACAATTAGGACACTCTGATGGTAAAATGATCTTTTACAGAGGAAACTATCTTCGTGTAGGCTATCTGTCGTCAATTCTTCTTACAAATTTGCCTTTACATAAAAAAAATACCACAAAAAAACAACACTTCAGTCCACGTGTACACTTGGTCCTGCAGGGTTTGAACTTAATTTGAACTTAACACACAATGTTGACCTTTACATAAGAGAAAAGAGTGAAGGCACGAAGAGGGAGAGACGGGCAGGGAGAGGAGGCATGTGAGCAGAACAAGAAAAGAGAGAAAAGAAGAAGAAGAAGAGGGCAAACAGAAACAGGCGGAAATTTCATTCTTACTAAATTCCTCAGAGTAATACGGAAAGGCAGGCAGTTAGGTAAACTGACTTGGATAATCACTGGGCAGCAAGAGGAGGAGGAGGAGGAGGAGGAAGATGAAGGGTCTGGGTGACTGGAGGTTTGAGGAAAGGGGATGAGGAGATGGTGTGGATAGAAAGAGGGAGGGGTGAAGAGGATAAATGCTGCTCCCAGATGAAAACCAAGGAATGACGAGAGATCGGAGGAGACAGCTTATGCAGGTACACGACAAGGAGGTAACAGGTGCACCGGAGTGAGTCCTTGGAGAAGGAAGAAGAGCGGGAGCAGATAAACGCAGCGAGAGGAAATTATTTAAGAAACGAGAGTCCAAGCACAAAAAAAGAAATCAAGGATTTTGGGACACTTTTTTTTTTCTCCTTCCCCGTGCATTTATAATTGACAAAACACCTGCATCCCCTCGTGTGCTCGCATGTCACCGTTGCATCTCTCCCTCTGCGCCCTTTCCTGTGCATGCATGCCTTTATATGTGTGTCTCATTGTGTGTGAGTGTGTGTGTGTGTGTGATGGCCTAGAACAGTAATGTATGCCTTCTCCTCAGCTGGGTTGATCTCATTGTGTCAAACTCAGGGCTTTGACTAATCACTCTCAAATAAGAGGACTCAGCGAACAGTTGCAAACACACTCGCATGAACACACATGCACGTATTCGCACAATAACGCAAACTATCCCCTGTATATTCCTGCTGTCCATCCCCCCCCTCCATCTCCTCAACTACTGCTGTCATGCTTTCAACACATCCATCTTCTTTTGTTGTGCCTCCACGTTTGCCATCTGTCTCTAAACTATATATATATTCTTTTTTGCTTTACTGTCTGTCCTCTCTGCAGCAATCTTCTCCCTCTTTGGTTGGATCTGGTTTCATTGCGTTACATTTTTAGAGTGCAACAGGAAAGCTGGGTACACAAAGGTCACAAGGCTGGATTTAAACCCATAATTTCATGCATTCTTTTGAATTGTAGATTCGAGAATAGTGTGCCTCATTGATCCCTAAAGGAAATTGCTTGTCTGCCTCCAGGTCAGAAGTTCATACTCAGGTACAGAACACTGCCATCACCTTTAAGGATCCCTTAAAGGAAAAGTTTAACATTTTAGGAAATACACTCACTTGTTCTTTATCGAAAATACAGCTGCAGATATCACACCGTTAGCTTAGCGCTGGTGTAAATTCACTTTCTCCTGGAAGCCCATGCTTACAGTTAGCCTTGTAATGCTGTGGAGCAGGTGCATGCCTGTACGATTGTGTGTGCGCATGTGTGTGTGTGTGTGTGTGCGTGCCTTATGAGTGATTGCAGTTCGACCTTTCCTTCTGGCAACCTCTGCTGGATTGCACTCAGATCAAGATGGCAAGTACTCTAAATCTGTGAGTGTGTGCGTATGTGTGTGCATGCACGTGTATGCATGTGTGTGAGAGTGTGTGTGTGGTTTGATGGATGCCACAGATCATGGCTGTTGGAGTGCATTGTGGTGAGCCAGCTCAGCCAAGTCATATCACATTAACGCACACACACACACGGGCGCGCGCACACACACACAGACACATACACACACACTCACACACAGGCCCTTCCATGAATGGATGAATGAATGAAGGCTGAGATGATATAGAATGATTGGAAAGTGGTCTGGTGAAGGTAATTTCATTCCTCTGTCACATTTTGTGTGCAAGCATGTGTGTGTGTGTGTGTGTGTGTGTATGAGTGTGTGTGGACACTGGACAAATTCTGGCTTCAAATCCTCGCTGTGATGACATTTTCTTTTGCATTTTTTGGACATTGCACTGTCTATATACTTTAGGGTTCACGTTAGAATCCGGTTTAGGTCAGCGGTTCTAGGTGGAATTTGGTTTTTTAGGTGTGACGGTTGAAGCGACGGTACGGGGATGGGGAATGCATTATGCAAATGAGCGTCCTCACAAAGACAGATGTGCATGTGCGTAGACACATAGTGACTGGATATGAGCGTATATATATTATCTACTAGAGCAGAGGGATTATTTTCTATTATTCATTTGCACATAGAGATATCTATCATCCTGTACATCTGGCTGCAATCCAGTCAAGGTATGTGAATGCAGAATTGAAATGCAGTGTCACATTATTTAGAACAGATCTATCTATCTATCTATCTATCTATCTATCTATCTATCTATCTATCTATCTATCTATCTATCTATCTATCTATCTATCTATCTATCTATCTCGACAAGTCTTCTGTAAAACTTAAAATGCAGCATTGCAGTAAATTTACAAGTTCTCCACAACAGCCTTCATTATTATCTTAATCTTATTCCCATCCCGGTCCTCCATATCTGTATTATGCTCTGGATCATATGCATATCTATTGTCTAGCCTTACATTGCGTCATCTCACAGCAGGGAAGTCACGAGTGCTGCTCCTGCTGCTGCTGCAGCTGGCCTTGTCAGGTTGAGACGCACTACTGGCTGCAGCCCACGGGGGGCAGTGTGAGCTACGCATTGCATGCTGCCATCAAAGTGGAGCAGCAGAAACAGCAGCAGCAGCAGCGTTGAGTGTTTGCAGCCTTGTGTGTGTGTGTGTGCGTGTTTTTGGATTGGGTGTGTTCAGCAGGGCACAGTAGAGAAAGGGGAAAAAAAGAGTCGGAAAGATAAGAGTTTCTAATTAAGTTAAAAAAAGAAAAAAAAACAGGCGCATTTACTTTCATCACATTGCTGCAAACTATCCACTTCTCTGACTGCAGGAATCCACACTGCAGTGTCAAATGTAGGGCTTATGTGTTGTAAAAATCCCATTCTTCACATTAATAACTAATAATTCTGCACAGTGCAGATTTGCAGATGCTACACGTCACACTTTTAAGACTGTTTCTAAGCTGTTTGCATACGAGGAATCCTCCATTCTTAGCATATCAGCCAAACTCTACATGCATGCCTTCGTTGCATAAGCGTCTCCATGT